TGTTGAGAACAAGAACAAAAAGAGGAAAAAAGGGCACCGATTAATAGTGTTGAAAGGATGTGTTGCTGCATAGTATCAAGCTATTTTGAATTGAATTTATTCACTATTCTTTTAGATATCGACTGAATTTTCTACTTGGATTATCAATAATAGAAGCACCAAATAATGGCTGAAGAGCTTCCATCATTATCACCTTCTGTAAGAAGTTCATTTTTGATGCCCTTGCACATACTACGTGCTACTGCAGGATAAGAACACTCATTGTGTGCTGTACTAATAGATTTTGTTTTCGTGCCCTATATTCAGTAAACAATATGGGTGCTCCTATTCTGCAACAGCACTAAAAAATAGCTAAGCTACATTTTAGACACCGTACACTTTTTATGCTTATAGACAGAGCTGAGCAGAGTACTTTACGGCTCTGATGTCCTGCCGTCTGCCAGAACAGAGAGAAGCAGTAGGGCAAGACAAGGGATGGCATTTTAATTTAACTTTAAAATTAAAACTAAAACTAAAGCAGAGTTTTTTCACTGAAGGAGAGCTTTTCTAAGAAGAAACGATTTGTCATAAAGCTTCACCAAAGGTCTTCGGAGTTGGAGAAACTAGATCAGCAATAGGTTTTACGCAATTTCGAGTTTGACTTTTTTCAAAAACATTTTTTTTGGCAGAAAAATCAGTTTTTTACTAAACAATAATTTTTTTGAAAAAAGTCAAGCTCAAAATTCCGAAAGACCGATTGCAAATTCGAATTCCTCGACTCAGACAAATTTTGGTCAAAATTTAAGAGAAATCGCCTTTTTCTTAAAAAAAAGCTCTTCATCAATGGAAAAACTCTACTTTAAGTTTAATTTTTTTCGAAGTCAAAGTTTAAAGTTGAATTTCCACTCCTACACTTGGTTACATTTAAGTTGATAACTAAAACTCAAAACCCAACATCTTTCTAGAGAAATTGATTTAATGGGAGAACTCCCCTTGTTAAGTGCAATGAAATCGGTTTGTCTTGCACTATCTTACTCCTTTTTCATATTATATAGAATAATCAGAAAATTTCAACTTTGAAATTAAACTATATTCATTCGACTATGTCTTTATTCATTATAGAACCGACGAAAAGTCAAGGCAGTCGACTATTATTTTCTATTTCAGAACTTAATGCAACAGATGAACAATGCTGTGAATGCTTTCGTTGTGAGCAATGCAAACAATGATCAACATTAAATCTGCACAAACAGGCCTATTAAAAGAGATAGAAAAAAATGTAATGTTTGCTTTTTATTTTCTGAAAATATTATGATCCGTGCTGACTACAAGATCATACATATTGTCCTTGTTATAAATCTTTCTTTTCTTGTTACCATCTATATCTATATATATTTCAAAATTGCACTCTCATTAGATGTTTTTGTTCTTAAGTGTATTCTGAACCGAAAGATAAAGTAAGTCAGAAAAATCTTTAACACAAATCAAGGGGGAAACAGCTGATTATTTGATTAGATATGATTTTAAGTGATTAGCAGTGATTATTATTGATTAGGAGTGATTAGGAGTGATTAGGAATGATTAGGAGTGATTAGGAGTGATTAGGAATGATTAGGAATGATTAGGAGTGATTAGGAATGATTAGGAGTGATTAGGAGTGATTAGAGTTTATTAGACAAATGAATAAAAGTCATATATTATTTTATGTCCCTATGCTTCTGTACTTGCGTTGTATACGCAAAACGAAACTGTTTTAAGCCATTTAGTAGGCTATGTTGCCATTAGATATCATTACCTATCTTAAAGTACACGAGACTTTTGCCTTAACTCTTTTGTACTGTTTTTGTGTACTCAAAAAGTGAGTACACTCTAGAATCGGTCAGTATGTCCGGCCGTCCCGCCGTTTACACGATAGCTTTTGAAAGGAGAGTCCGATTGCAATGAAATTTTCTACACAGTTTAGTCTCAACAATATTTCGGTCGAGTTCGAAGATGAGAAGGATTGGCAGAGCCATTGCTGAGTTATTGGAAAAATAGTCATTTTTCCCTATGCCTTCCTATGCGAGAATCGGCCTATCCCGACGTTCGTAAAAAACTTTTCCTATCATAGTCAAATAAAACCCCAACTATTGTATACCATTCGATAGAGAATTTCACGAGCTACAAAATGGTATATAAAACATAAGGAAACAAGAAGGCCAACTCAGCTATAGCAAAGATAATTAAACGGAATTCGGTTCTGTTTTTGTCCATGCTCTAATTGATCCACAAATAGAGCTCTATCTTCCGATCACAGAGATGATAGTTCGAGGTTTTCTGGGGTGGAGAACTCGAATCTGTGCTCCATTCGCCTCGAAATCCCATTGATTGAACAGTAACCAATAGAAATCAAGTTATAGGAAAAATGACACTCTTAGGGTAAATCAAGATGAAGAGTTCAAATCTGAGCTGCATTCATCCCCAAGTCGTATTAGTTGAGCAGTAGCCAATAGAAATCAAGTGTTTATAGACAAGGTTTGCCAGGATAATTTTTATATTCCCACATTCTAGAAGGACTCATATGTCTCATTCACTTTTTGAAGTACACATAACTCTCGGATTTAAATCCGAGGTTTCCACATTTTATTCAATTTATGGATTTTAAGAAGAAGTAACACGAACTATCAACAAGTACATAGTACATATATTTCTAATTTCAAGAAAAAGTTTATGCAATGAAAAGGAAACAATTCATCATTTTTTTGATGTTTGAATAACTCGTGATAATCTATCAATAGATAAGCTATTATTATCTCTTGTAAGAAGATAACAAGCCGTGGACTTATGTAAGAACTTATTCATATCATTGATTTTAATCTTGAAATATGATTTCTCTTGATCAGCTGGTACACTGTCTTTGATATTTAATCCATCAAAACTTGTTTTAAATGTTTTCAATTGTTCGTCATCCATATTGTCATCATCATCATTAGGGGTGTAACTTTAACTTTTAAAGTTAAAGTAAACCACTTTAAAACTTTAACTTTAACTTAACCAAATAAAGTTAAAGTACATATCGTCCAATGGACGGACTGATACGTCCTCAACTACTATTCTATGGGGATACTCATAAGTACTCAATGGCTATCCGAGGAAGGTACCCATAAGTCCTCAAGGGCTATCCGAGGGGTAGGGATGTGACAATACCAATACCATCAATACCATTTGGTATTGGTATTGGTATATGTGGAGGGAGCTACTGGTCCCTCAGCTCAATCTCAATGTATCGAAAAACCAATCACGGATTCGGATTCCTCGACCCCGAAAACCTTTGATCAAACTTTATAAAAAATTGTTATTTTCTCAAAACAACGCATTCCTGATGAAAAAAACAAAGTCGCAAAATTTGAGAAGTCAATTATAAATTCTTGATTTTTTCATCAGAAATACGTTGTTTTGAGAAAATACCGATTTTTTATAAAGTTTGATCAAAGATTTTCAGGGTCGAGGAATCCGAATCCGTGATCGGTTTTTCGATACATTGAGATCGAGCTGAAGGACCAGTAGCCCCTCCCCATATACCAATACCAATACCGACCAATACCAATACCACCCAACACCAATACCAAATGGTATTGGTATTATTACATTCCGACCCCTCGGATAACCGTTGAGCACCTATGAATACTTCCTCGGATAGCCGTTGAGGACCTATGAGTACCCTCCTCGGATAGCCCTTGAGGACCTATGAGTACCCCTTCGGATAGCCCTTGAGGACCTATAAGTACTCCCTCGGATAGGCCTTGAGTATATATGAGTACCCCCTCGGATAACCCTTGAGGACCTATGAATACTCCGTCGGATAGCCCTTGAGGATCTATGAGTATCCTCCGTCGGATAGCCGTTGAGGATCTATGAATACCACCTCGGATAGCCCTTGAGGACTTATGGGTACCCCCCTCGGATAGCCATTGAGTACTTATGGGTATCCCTATAGAATCGTAGTTGAGGACGCATCAGTCCGCCCATTGGACGATATATACTTTAACTTTATTTGGTTAAGTTAAAGTTTAAAGTAACACTTTAACCCCTTGACCGTTAACGACGAGTATACTCGTCACAGCAATCTTCATGGAAAAGATGAAGACTACAATTTCTCAACTTTGTTTTTCTTATATGCTCTGTACCAGCTCTAACATCCTGCATCTACTGGAGCTCGCTCTACCGCTTCTGATATTTCGTATCAATTATGTTCTCGTCAATGAAAAGTTATTTTGCGAAAAGTTTACTATTTAATTTCAAAAAAACTTAACAGTCAAGGAATTAAATTTTATACTTTTTTAAAGTGTTTGTAAAGTTAAAGTGTCACCCCTACTTATATGGTATTTTAACCTTTATTTGTAAACTACACTCTTACTACTTTCTTTTTTAGGACACGAATATACGTGGACAAATTTTAACATAGAAGGAAACCAAATATTTTTCTGTTTCGTTCGAAATGCATCATATACTAATCTTTCTCTTGTACATTAGAAAGCTCTAATTTTTATAAAATAAATAGTTTTGTAAAAAATGTCCTCGTATTAACAATACATTGGTATACATATTTATACAGAAGAAACTTCTGTTTGATTGTGAATCTCTTTTATAATATTATCCATTATACTTAACTAAAAGTGATTAGATTTGGTCACTGTTTGATTAGGAGCGATTAGTAATGATTAAGAGTGATTAATAATGATTAGGAGTGATTATTATTGATTAGGAGTGATTAGGGGTGATTAGGATGATTAGCGGATTCCTAATCAGCTGTTTCCCCCTTGACACAAATACACCTTCGTTTTGAAAATAAAATGGTTATGAACTATTGTAATCACTTTTTTTTCTTGATTTATCAATGTGAAATGATTGATCGATGACAAGCAACATGTGTAGAATAATAATAATTAACTATTTGTGAATAAGCTAGGAATATAACAATTCAACATTTTTCTCCGTATTAAAATAGATATAGATGTGGAAAAATTTTTTTTTTTTAAAATTTATTCTTCATCTCTTTTCCTTTTTCCTAACTCATCATCATCAACTTTCGATACAATAGTTGAAGTTGATTCTATTCGACTATCAGCTAAAAGTTTTTGCAATGCTAATTGTTTATCATTATCAATATCCATTAATTGTTGTTGATTATTTTTTTTCTTTTTTTTCTTTTTAAATATTTGTGATGTTGTTTTATTTTGATTGATTGATTGTGAATTCATAGAAATTAATTGTTCAATACAATAATTAACTAAATATTTTTTACATTGTCGAATACTTCCACCAACATGAAGTGTTTGTATTGAACATTCAATTTGATCAATAGTTAATTTTGAAATAAATGTTGCAGCTGTTTTTAACATATGTTTATCATCACGAAGACATCTAACAATAGCTACATGTGTTGATGAATTATAATAAATAATTGAAAGATTTCGTGTAAAACGTGCAATACCAATATCACCATATAAACGAGAAATCATTGTTTCAAATGTTGTATGAATATTTGATGATTTAATTATAATTGTTGGATTAGAATTAAAATGAAATTGAAAAACAAAATATCGACGTTTAATACGAACCATAATAATATATATTATCTAAAAACAGTAGAACTAATCATCTTTATGTTCTAATCGTTCATAATCTTTTCTAATTTTATTTATTCTTTCCATTTCTTTTTGAGGATTTATATAATAAGGTCGTTTAATTGTTTTTGTAAGAATACCAGTTTCACGATAATGTGTTCGTTCAGTTAAATATATTTCTTTACATTCTTCACGAAAATTTTCATCATGAAACCTACAATTTAAAAATTATCATAATAAGATATTTTTTTTTTATAATCTTTTAATTACCATTTAGCAAGACAATCGTTCATTGCTTTTACTTCTTTTCGACATTTTAAAAAAGACCATGCACCATGTTTTTCACCACATTGACCAAATTCTAGATCAAAATATTAAATTCGAATAAATCTTTTATTTAATTTATCTCACCATCAATTAATTGATGACATTTTTCTCGATGAGCTCGATCTCGAATAATTCCTGGTATACAAACTTCTAATTCAACTTTACGTAAACTTTTATCATTTGGATCACCTAGACACAAGAATAAATTTTTATTTAAAATGAACAAATATTTTGTTGTTTTTTTTTTTTGCTTCATTGAATATCTAACCTACACCATGAGGACCACCTCGATATCGACCAGCTGATACATAATCAGATAAAAATATTTCTGTTCCATGTTCTGTTTTATTATCAGTCATATCTGAAATAACTGACATGGTTTTTTTTGTTCCCTTAGAATAAGATTTGCTTTTTTTTTTTTTATTATTTATTTTTTTCTTTTTCAGACAAACAACATATACACATAATATTGTCACTTAGAGTTCTTCATGTTGTGATAAATATTGACGAAGACGAGTTAACATTTCTTTTTTAATTGTATCAGGTACAAGAGCTAAATAAAATACGAAATATTTAATTAGATGAAAATTTTACGAAAATAAAATATTGTTTACCTCGACCTTTGGGTGTTATTTCTTGTACAAGTTCATCAACTGTAATATTTTCAAGACCTTTTTGTTTAACAATTTCTATAAAATAAAAATTCGTATAGAACAGATATATTCAGTTGATTCATATCATCCTTGAAACTCTAAATCATCGAACCGGTAGGTTTCAAATATGTATCCTATCTTCTAAAATATTATAGATGCATCTTTTGAAATCATTGTAGGATAAGATTAATAATGCTCTTTTTGTAATAGTAGTCTAAATTCTTTAAGTAAAATATCCATTCGTCGTGAAGTCTTTTAATTTGATTAAATCTATGTTTTCTGTATATGAAAAGGATGAGTATGCTATTATTTACTCTAGTCCACTTCCATATCTGAAACTGTTGTTATCTTGAACATGATTGAGTATGACAAATAATCATTATTAATACCTTTACAATATGCTTTCATTTGATCTCGCCATCCATATTCCATTAATCGTTGTCGTAAAAGCTGTTTCATTCTATTTGATAAAAATGAGAAGTAGATAATAAATTAACAATTGAATCTTACTGTTCTCTTTCACCACTTTCAATCAATTTTGCATTTAATGAAGCTCGAATTTGTGCATTTCGATCAACCATTTTTAATAAAATAATCTGTAAAAAAAAGAAGAAGACAAAGAACTAAACTCATCTCGATATAGTTAGTAAATGTTGATAATATTCTATTTTTGAAGGAAAAAAAACCGATAGATACAATATCAATAGGAAAAAAACTAAGTCTTTTCAATGCTACAATTGGATTAATAGTATGGTAAACGTGTCCAACTTTGATAACGAAGAAAGAATGGTTTAATATCCCAATTATTTGTTGACCAATAATATCGAGGATCCTAAAAAAAAATTTAAACTTCAAAATTCAAATAGAATCTAAATATTTACATATTTCATAAGACTTGTTTGACTCTTTTGTGCATTTGGTTCAGTCCACCATTCAGAAAGATGAAGAAGACGATTAGCATTAAACATTCGTGTCCAAAAATGTTCATCTTGAAGTCTAATCAAAGAAAAGAAAAAAATAGTCTATAACAATTAAGACAAAAATTAAAAAACATACAAAGCACGAAATCGTTCTAATTCAACATCAACTGTTATACGCCAATCGGGAAATTTATTTGTATCATCAAAATTAAGTTGTTCAATATCAAAAACAATCTTAATAGATGAAAAAAGAAATTTTTTTGAATTAAACTACATAATAATAAACATTACATCATCCAATGTTTTAATTTCATTTTCATTGTATTGAAGAATGTGACAATATGTACTGTAAAACAAAATTCTTTTTTTCAATAGAAAAATAAAATAAAAACAAACCTCATTCTTGGTAACCATTCTTCTTTGTACATTCGATCCATTGCTTGAAGCAATTCTAACGAATATACTCTACTCTGTTTATGATAATCCTTAATCAAAAAATAAAAACCGTTTTATTTATAAAAAAAAAAATAAATATTATAATAATATTACTTTTCCATTTTTTTTTAAATCTTCCCAAATAGCATGAGGATCTTTATCAATAAAGATAATAAGACGAGGCATTTTCAAATTATAATCAATTGAAACTTTATATTCCAATAAAAAGTCATAACCTTTTTAAAAAAAACAATAAAATTTAATCAAATATTAATATTTAAATATGAACTTAATAGAATTATTAATTTACCTATTAAAAATTGTTATAACTATGCTTTTATTAATAAAATTAACGTTATTCATATCTATGAGATTTATCTCATAGAAGAATCGGTTTTTTTTTGTGCGTGTTATTCGAATAGTCACATCATGAAAAGAAAATTGACTATAATCGATCGAGTTTTTTTTTTCTTTTTATAAAACGTTTTCATATGTTTTGTTTTCTTAACAAACATCTCGACGAAGATTTTTACTTCTTTTCTTTCTCTTCAATAATGGTTGTCAAAGCAAACTTCTATTATTTGATGATGTTGAAAAAAAGTTAAAAAGAATAGATTTCTTATAATTGAATGAGTCCGTTTAATTTTCTCTATTATGAATAATATCAAAAATTTTATCATAATTACAAATACAAAATGATCTTGATTATTTATGATTAACTAATATCTCTACGTCGAATATTAAAATGTGATTTTATTCTTTTGTATCTGGAAAGGTTATATTGATAGAAGCTATTAAAGGTTACTAATAACATAATAAACATGTTTGACAAAGGTATAAACTCGACTTTTCGAAGTCTGTCACAGAAAAGGCACATCATTTAAAATAAGCAGACTATTTTAAATCAAAGGGCATGTAGATACTGTTTGAATAATTTTTTATAGAAATAAAACAGAGTACTATTATTTTCAATATTGGGAAAGAGAAGATGAAGTCGCATACCATTATCTATTATAGAGTCTTCTAAGATATTTTTTAATCAAACTTATTTTAAAAAGTGTTCAAAATTCATGGCTTTTGAATAACTCAATCTGTAAAGTTCAAGTTTTATAGATCTTTCATTGATGGTTCAGATACATATCTCATTATTCAAAATTCACTATGATCATCTCATAAGGTATGTTAGTTTTCAAAGAAATCGAACAACTTCTAATATAAGGTTCGATACATCTTCAATCGTCTCTTTCTAAAGGTAAAAACTGTAGTTCTCGATTTCGTTTCTATCTAAAATGATTTTAAAAAAAATCTCCATTTGCCTTTTTTTTTCCTGGAATAGGCATCAATATTAAATTGTGAACACATTTCAAAGAAACTGGATGACAAAGCCAGGCAAATTGAAGAAATCCATAGACTTTTATGAGTCTACTAGTAGATCTGTTTAGAACTATTTTCCAATATTTCATTCTTACTATGTCAGATGAACATTGTTCAACCTTAAATCACATCACATATGTCTTAGGCTAAATTCATTTTTAATTTAATTCAGAGTTACGAAATAGTTCTGCAATTTCCGATAGACGACGGTTATTACTCAATCATAACGGATCAATAATTCAATCAAACTTAAACATAGCTTTATATAAATCTAAAACATCAATTCAAATCAATTTTAACACAACAAACATATTTGCTACTCACAATCGATAAAAACTTCTAAAAATATTTCAATTCAGAAAAAAAAACTTGGCAGAGTTCTTCTTTTTGAAATTAGACTACACTATTATTCTATAAATAGATCATTATTGTTTTTTTATCTATCGAACTTGTCATGCATCTCGTGCAAATAGAAAAAAGGCTCTGTTACACTCTGTATCTTTAAACTTATAGAATGTGACTCCACTGCGAATGTTGCTTGACTAAATTAGTTATTTTCGAGCTTTATCAAGAGTATCTTAAAAAATATCAATTCATTTCATAAATTCCTCTGATATTATTGAAAGAAGATATGAAAAAATAAATATTAACTAATATCTAATGTTGTTGACATCAAATTTCAATTGATAATAATGCTTTCTGAAAAACCTTCCTTATTAATAAAATGTGCATAAATATAGTCACGATCTATAATTTTCAATTGAACACAAAGAGATTCAAAATAAAGATCAGCTTTAATAATTATGTCTTGTAGTTGACATTGAAATGAACAACAAGATATACAATATTCATCAAATTTCTAAGATTAATGTATTTTTTCGATAATATCAAACATTTAATTCAAATCGAAAGGGTGATTTGAACTAACTAATGAAGTTCTGTACCACTATTTCAGTTTGAATTAAATGCTTAGTATTATAGAAGAAGTCAAAAGTATGTTTGTATTATATAATATATATATATCGGTACTGAACAGTAATGTTTCGTAAATTACTAATTTATTCTTTCTAATTAATGATTTTCGACAAATCTCAGTATTTAATTGTATAAACAAAACCTACCATCTTGACTAACAAAACCAAAATTACGAAGAATATTGAGAATAGGATAATAACTCCAATAGGATCGATCCATAACAATTCCTTGTCCTATAAAACAAACAAACAAACAAATTAATGTATTATTTTATATAATAATAAAATATTTACCTGTTGAAAACATATGTGATAAACCCATTCTTAATTGATAAGTCATTGTTTGTAAAAGAGGTCTTAATAAACGTACAGATGCATGATGATTCGGATTTAAATGCCATTCTTCAGGTATTGGCATATAATCTCTAGGTAAACAATAATCATTATGAAATTGTCGTGTATTAATTGTTCCTGTTTCATCAATAAAATGCATTCGATCAATATCCGGCTTTGGTATAGGTAAAAATCCAATATGATTAGCTAAACGTTTAACAAAATCCGAACGACGAACACCAAAATTTGATTCAACATGAAAAAATAAAGTATTATCATGAATATTTGCTAATGTATAATGACCACCTAAATAAAAATGACGAAAAAAATCTAAAAAACAAAAACAAAGAAATTTTTTTTTTTAAATCATAATAATCATATATAATTAAATTACTATAATTTTTGTTAACATAATCAAATGGATGTGCCGGTTTTTCTGTATCCTTGTATTGCATAGAAAATGTTCGATGATATTGAGGAATTGAACATGTTGATACAATAAGTAATCGATTATGTTGATTTGCAAGAAAAATTCGACGGAGCGAAGCAGCAACGCCGCTGCTCATTCTTATATTTAATTTATCTTAAATATTAAAATAATAGATAAATTAGACAAGAAACAAAAACAAAAAAAAAAGCACTCGTTCTTATTTCAATCTAGATATTGTTTATTCATTCATTTATTTCGATGTTTTCGTCAATCATTGGTTATATATTTAACCATTAGGATTTTTTTCTTTCATTATCATTAATTATAAGTCTCTACCGAAATATTTCTTTCCCAGCATTGCCTATCGTTTTTCTTTTTGACTCATGAGAATTACTCTTTTAGAATTTCGTTGAATATATTCTTAAAAATTTTTTTATTATCATTCTCGAATATTCGTTTTCATCATTTTTATTTCATTGCAAAAGATTTCTTCCCATTTGACAGTTATAGATAAATATTCAACTAATTTTTTAATTCACCGGTGTAACAAAAAAACAAAATAATTTAGAATAATGGCCACTGCTGTACCTGATTATTATTGTCATAAATGTCGAGTACATATTGGGCATGTTACAGTAAGATTTATTTTAAAATAAAAATTTTTTTTTTTGATTTATAATAATAAAACTTTTTTTGTTTAGAATTTTGAATGCCCACATTGTAGAGATAGTTTCATAGAAGAACTTCCTGCAGAACATCCATCATCGTATGTATTTTCTTCAATCGCGTATCTAGGATTCTTAGCTATTGGAAAGTTGATCATCATTACAAAATGTGTTTTCTACTGAGAATAATTAAAAAGTATTTTCGAAAATATGTGATGATCGTTTCATTCCTAAATGCGCAATTGATTTTTTTTGTTTTTAGAATTTTTAAAAATAAATTTCAAATAAAATATTTAGTCATTCGCGACATAATCAACCACGTCATCGTAATAGAATTCGTTTTCATGGTTCAACACCATTTGGTAATACAACAATAGTTATTGGTGGTGGTCATCCATCACATAATGGAAATCCTCAAACTAATAATCCAGATATGGGAACATTTTTTCAAACAGTTCTTTCACAAATTGTTGGTGGTTCACAAGTTCCATTGTAATTATATTATTTATGTTTAGAAAAAGAAAAAAAATCGTTTGTTTTTGTTTTAGTGGTGTACAATCCGGCGGAATGTTTGATTCAGCAAATCTTGATGCATTTCTTACACAAGTAAATATTATTTATATCTGTTTATTGTTGTTGTTATTTCTTTTGTTTAGTTTTTAAATCAAATGGGAGATAATGGTGGTCCAGCACCGGCATCTGAAAATCGTATAAATTCAATTCCAACAGTGAAAATCACAGCTGCACAAGCACGTATGTTATTTATTTGTTTTTTTTTGTAAAAAAAAAAATATTTTAAATATTTTTATTTAATTTATATATAGATGATTGTTTACAGTGTGCTATTTGTATGGATGAATTTAAACTACATGATGAAGCTAAACGTCTTCCTTGTTCACATCATTTTCATGAAGAATGTATATTACGATGGCTTAGAATGGTAATATATAAACATTTTTTTTTTCTATTTAATTATTGTTTTTATAGCATGGAACATGTCCAACATGTCGTGTTACATTAGAAGGTGATAATACAAGTAATCGGGAATATTATAATTTTTTTCCAAATCATCGACAACAACAACAATCATCATCATCATCAAGGAATAATAATCGTCGAAATAATGGAGGCAATAATGGATCTAATTCAACATCTGGATCAACTTTATTCGATTTCGACTAAATTAATATATATATGTGTGATTTATTATGTAAAAAAAAAAAAAAACAAACTAAAATTTCGTTTTTTTTTTCTTGTCTTCTAATGATATTTACCTTTGCTTGCTTTTTTTTTTCTTTGGTCATCGTATCGATTTTTTTTTTCTTTGTTGAAAATAAATGAAATCATAATATAAAGTTAGACTAAATAATAATATACAATTTTAGTTAATCGTGAAACTTTTTTTTATTCGTGTAATTCAAGTTGTCAATGAAATTCTTTGATTGAAATTCTAATGATTGTGTAATGATGCAAGTGAAGACAAAGAATTAAAAGTTTTAATTATATTATTGATTGATGAAAATATTCTATTTGAATAAATATTTTTTACTCGTTGATTTATTCAGTCTTATGAATCGACTAGATCAATTTTATTGTCGAATTAAAGAAGAAATTATTCGCTAGAATTAGTTTTACCAAAAACAAAAATTTTGGAAACGATTAGTTTATTCAGACGATTTACTGAGCATATTATTCTTTCGAACAAAGAAAAATTTCCATAGATCGAATATTTCGTAGTTGCCAAATACAAATATATCGACATCTGTCAATTTAGTACAAAGATTTTAGATTTTCTCTATAAAATCTATCTTGGTGGAAAGAAGAATATCACTGTTTTATACCATGAGATGCTGCTGATCGGCATATTCCATAGCTCGATATTTTTCCTAGAACAATGACTAGCTGAAGCCATGAACGTAAGACTGACCTGATTAACTACAAGAGCAAATATATGTCACAACGTTGGCATTATGCTTTCAAACGGATGACTCCAGACAAATAGCCATTAGCAATTAAAATAGAATTATTCTATGCCTGGTAGCAGTGAAATTTGCCCACAGTACCTTATGGATACGTGTCAAACAACGTAGCCGTGCAACTAGTACTTTAGTGAAAAAACAAATCTTAGGTTTTTTGAACAATCTGACAACATCTAGTACCAGTACAGAGTAAAGCTCATTACATTTGACACAAACATTTGGATTATTCTTATATCGAAAATTTTCAATCTTGATATTAGATGAGCAAGCTTTGATTAATCCATAGTGACAAATGAATTTCGAGAAATTTTCAATAATTCTGTTTCATTCTGGCTTTTGAGTTATATGAAAATTAATAAAAAAAAAATTTGTTATTGTCCTACGGTAGGAGCAATAATCTCCCTGGTGTTTTATTTGTTGTTTTTCTTTTCTTTAATTAACAAAAATGATGGTCAACAAAAAACAAACAACAAGCATTATATAAACTGTTGCTTATCAAATAATTTTCTTCTTTTCTTTTTATTTATTTTTTTTTACTGTTTAGACGAGCACTTCAGGAAATTCAAAGTGAACATCTTTGCCGGTAAGTTTCTTGTAAACTGATTGAAAAGCTGGTACCTTAAATAGAAAAAGAGAATATTTCCATCAATAATCAAATGTAAAAAAAGAAACAAACCTTATTTTCAACAAGTGTTTGTTGATTTTTATCAAGATGAACTTTAAATAAACGAGATCCATCTAATTTAATACGAATACGTTTGCCTGTTATTTCAGCTGGATACACAAGATCGTGTAAAACAGCATCATGAACTGCAGTTAATGTTCGACTAAAAAAAAAAAAAAAACGATCAAATTAATTTTGATAATAAATTTCAATCAAAAAAAGAAACATACTTTCTTGGACGTTTTTGTTTCGATTGTGTTTTCGATTTACGTGTTGGTTTTGGTAAAATTCGACGCTATAATAATAATAAATTCAATGAAATAAATTTCAAAAAAAAAAAAAAGGTAAACCTGTCCAAGAAGAACAACAGTTTGATTATATTTCTTTTCGAGTTCCGAAACAAGTAATGAATGAACTCGTTGAAAAGCCTTTACTTTTGGCACTGGAATATAAATAACAAGAGCTGATCGTCCATCACTCAAGTCAATTTTCTATACATAATATATATTTAATTAATCATAAATAAAATAATTTTTACAAACTTTTGCTCCAGTGATATAAAGTTCTCGTAATTGACCTTTAAATTGTGCATTACCTTCGAGTTCAGTCAATTGCTAAATAAATGAAAAGATTTCGATCAAAATTAAAACGAAATTTTTTTTGTATTCTTTACTTGTGAAACATCAAGTTCGAGTGGTGTTGGTGGTTCACTACCACTTTTCATGATCTTAGTACCGGTATTCATTGTTGACAATAAAAATTTAAGTCAAACAATCTAAAATAATAAAATATTTTTTGTTTATAACTCTCTATCAACTAGAATATAAGAAATGAATTAAAAAAAACAACAAATGGATCCTCCACTATATTCCATAGTTTATCTATCATATATTTGAATCAAATAATCATCTATAAGTTTTGTTTCAAAAAAAAATATTTTCATTTTTAACAAAATAAAAATAAATTAATATTAAGAAAAAAAAAAAAATTTTTTTGTTCAATGGATAATTAAAATAAACCAATAGAAAATAATTATTTCTTATTATATAGAAGTACTACATACATACAGCTACACAGCTGATGTATAAGAAAAAAAAAAAACTAATTTCTTATGGATTCAAATAATGGAAAACAACTTTCACCATGGAAAGCTCCATCACGTATATCATTAAAACGTATTCGTCATAAAATAAATTCTGATTTATCAGTTCAAACACTTTCATCATCAACAATTATTGAAAAAAATTCTCAAAAACAAAATGTAAAACGAAATCGTCTTGTTATTAATAAATTTGCATTAGCACGTTCAATATCAACAACTGTTGATGAAAATCTTACATCATTAATAGTAGAAAAAACTCATAATGATGAACATTTACTTGCAAGACTTCATCAAATAATGCCACCACCACCACCATCAACAACAAATAATAAAAATTTAAATATTAATTATAAAAGTTTTTCATTTGATGATACATTTCAAAATTCTGAATCAAGTAAGAAATAAAAAATTTTCTTTAACAAAAAAAACAAAAAATTTCTAATAATAGATAAAATATCTGATGAAATTGTTTCTTTATTTCCAATTGATTGGTCATTAAAATCATCATGTCGTTTTTATTCTCTTAATTCATCACCTTTTTTAAATAATTTTATGAAACTTCGTTCAACAGATGAATCTCTTGCATTAGAATATATTTGTTCAAATATATCACAAGATAATGAAAAAGCTCTTTTTCGTTCTCTTACATCATATTGGATATATCCACATATAACTTGGCTTAGATTATTTCCACGTTCACAACAACAACAACAACAAAATATTAATTTTTCATCATTAGATGAACAAGCACAAACTGCTTTACAAGATGAATGGAAAATAACATTTCAATCACTATTTCAATCATTTAGAACAAAATATTCAACTTTTTTTTATATGTGTACACATACATTTAATATTTTATTTCGAGAAGATACTTTATCACAAATTATTGCTATTATTAGTCCAACAACTAGTGGTTTAAGATCAACACTTGAACGAGAAGGAATTGAATTTACAATGGCTGAGTATGTCATATATATATCAAAAATTTACAATTTTTTTTTTGTATAAATAATTTCAGAAAAAAAAAACACATACACATTATAGTTGAAGAATAAGTAGACTGCAATTCAAATCGTATCTATGAAATATAGTGAACTTTTCAAAAGTTATTCAACAATGTTTTGTGTAATGTAGAGAAATCTAAAAGGGTAATGAGTTTTCTTCTAGATATCGACTTTAGTCTGATGAAAACAGAGTGAACTTCCGCAAGTTGAGACATAATTGTTAGTTTTCATTTTTCTTTTATAAAATATGAAGAAAACTCTTAGCATCTAAATTTGCAAGGATATTAATAAATGAAATTCGATACTGAAATAAGAAGATAAATCATCTTTTTTTTTTCATAGTTCCATTTCAGAATATATCTATGAAAAAAAAACAAAGACATCGATCGTTTTAGAAACTTATAAAAGATTACAATTACGTTACTATAGATTTTTATTACTATTTAAACTCTTACAGTTGTTTATTCATGAACGGATGTCGCAGTGCAACTATGAAGATTTAGATAAGACAGTAACGAACTGATAAGCAAAGATGAGAAGATTATTTTTTACTATGTTAGCTTAGTCTATGGGTTTGCACTGTAACTTGAAACTAACACTATGGTTTGTATCGTCATGACAAAAAATTTTCAGGTTTTACGGAATAGTCACATTTGCTAATTTTATAAAGATAAAAAAAAAAAGAATTGAACTATTGCAGAAAATAAAATAATATAATATTTTATTTTAGTGGTGGTGGTTCATTAAATAATTCAGCAAATAAAAATAATGATGAAGAAGATGATGAAAATGGTGATGAAAATGATGTAACATGTGCTCAATGGTTAGAAGATATGGGTTTATCAACAACTTCTTCAACAAATTCAACTAATGAAAGACGATGTTTATCATCAAATAAAAAAATTTTAAATGAAAAAACACGTTCAACAACAATAATTATTCGAGATTTATCTTCTGTAAATAGTTTATTTAATTTTCTTTTAAATAAATCTCAACGAACATGTATGTCATTAACTGGACCATTATCAGGAATTCCACCAACATTAATATCACCACGTCCATTTCTTAATTCAACATTAAAATATTTAAATATTCATTTTCAATCAAATTCAATGGTTACAATTGATGGTGGACCTTTATTACCTGATCGTATAAAAGGTTTATGGAATTTAATTACAGAAAAAAATCAACAAATACAAATGATATGTACAAATGTTGAACGAACATCAGCATTAAATTTAGATGGTGAACAAGGTCGAACAATAAAACAAATATCAATAAATGATAAACGAGATTTACGTGTACAATTTTCAACAGTCTAATTCTTTTTTTTTTTTTTTTTCTCTTATATTTGATATCTAGTCAACCTATTAGGTTGTTTTATTTATCATGTCAGATATTTTCATTCAACAATTTATTATTCATTATACTTATTCGACTTCATTCTTTTCTTTTTCTTAAAAATAAATTAAAAAGTGTCTTAACCTTTTTAAAAAAAACAACTCATTGAAATAATTAAAGAACATTTGTTAGAAAAATAATTTGAGAATCAAATCAGCGTTTGTCTTATGAATATTTCTCAATGAAGAGATATTTAGGACATACGAAAACTAGTGGTAGTGACATATTAATATTGTCTAGTAGACGGAAAGAAACTTTCTCTCTACTTAGTCTGATAGAGAAGAAAAAGCTCTATCATACTGCAACTAATATCATTATAATAAAATTTCGATAAGATCAATTGTGAAAACCTTACATAAAACAGATTAGGAAAATCTGCAACATAGAATTCGATGCATCTTCATTTTCACTTTTCAACGATGAAAATCGCACTTCTTTATCTTATTTCTATCAATAAATACTCATTGGTATTTTTTTTTAAATCAGCATTAATACAAACGGCATATATGATAACGAAACATACCTTATCGAAATTTTATGATTGTGATATTAGCTACAGTATGATCAAATAGCATAGAATGAACGTTTCTTTAAGTCTACTATACGTTATTAAAATGTCACTGCCACTACTTTTGGTATGCTCTAAGTAAATCAGAAAAATCTATAGAATGTTTATAGACATAAGATTATTGTAATCACCGATGGTTCTAATCATTTGCTTTTGAAATGTAACAATATGTGAGAGTAGACTGAAGTCAACATAACTTGTACTGAATGGAATGATCTTTTGAGATGAAGAAATATGAATCTAAATTAATCCAATTTAGTTTTGCGATGAATTATCTCATTTTATCAAAATCAATATAACCAAAATTCATTATCTTCTCAAGTATGTAGATTTTACCTTTTTGTCATTATATATCATTCAAAGAGAATATCTCATCCTAAATATGTATTACAATCAAAATCATCTTTTAACACAAATGATATTGATTATATAACTTACAAGTCTCTTAATCAATTATGAAAAATATATTTAAACGCATGAAAATGTATTTATAAGGATATTTCACATTGTTTTTTGTTGTTGAGATTTAGTCATCTGAATTGAAAGTTTTATTTTTTTTTTAAATGTTCTTGAGAAACCTTGAAGACAATTATTAATTGACACATGACCATATAATTTTTAAATCTCTTAGTTCTAGTATATAATTCTATTTTGAATAAACGCAGTTTTTCTTTTCGATAGATATAGGTGTATGAACCTTTCTGTTGATATAGTTGTTGTGCTCTAAGATGTGTGATTGCAATAGTTGTGTACCATCAAGATATATAACTAGTATAATATGTGTAGAGTATAAGAATTAGTTAGAAAATTTCTAACATCAATCTCAATTCTAAACTTCTTTATACACCTTTTAGACAACTGATTCTTGTTTATTACATATATATCTATCTTTTCGCTCTCTTCAGAGAGAAGCTTCTGTTGATGTCAAAACTATGTTAGAGTTCCATTGTACCATCTATTGTCTAAGATAAGATTATCGTTTTAGTAAAAAGAAGTTCACCTACTCAAAATCAAGATGTTACAATAAATATTCTTCTTCTTTCTACGATAACAACATATTAGAAAATTGCGCATTTTCAAAAAAAAGTTTTTCATCAATTACTCAAAGCCATAAATATTGAAAATATATTCTGATAATAAACTATTATTTCCTTTATTATTAAGAAAACACCTGCATATAGATAATATTGTCAATGCGTCATGTGTATGTCATACAATGAATTGAGACTGCAAAGTAAATGCTATTCATATTATTAGAAAATAAAAAATCTACGTAAATAGACCAATAAGCCAATCGATATATATGTAACACTATGCAAGGAAATTTTGATCGATTAACTTATTGATCTAGTGTATAAAGACTAAATTCTGTGTCGCTAACTTCTTACCATCTGTTCGAAATCATTTAGTTGCAAAAAAAGATCAAATGTCACATGCTAAAATTTGTTTAAACAACATGAAACTTAAAATTGCTGTTATAACAATAAAGTTTATCGTTGCTACAATAAAACAAAAAGAATTCCAAATCTTGCAGTAAAAAAATTAGCTTATCAAAGTGTGGTTAGGTGTTAGTATGGAAGAGAGGAGGTGTCGGCAAAGATCAACTCATCCATACCTACACCCTTTTGAAAATGGAATTCTTTTGGAACTGGAAAGTGGCTCTTCAT